CTCCTAGCTGATCATGGTCGTGAGCTATTAATTAATTATTATTAATGGCATTTTCATTAATTAACTCATATCTCCGTCAAAAAGGCGCATGGGCCCAAACCAACTTGGGGTTTTTCACTACTGACTACTCCCTACATGATGAAAATAGTCTGAGTTTAAAAGCTTTTAATCACCTCGAGAGGTTCCCTCGTGAGTTACAATTGAAATCCAATGACATTGAACAATATGATCGACGACTAAATATATTTGTACATGGAATACCTGAGAAAGATGGTGGAATAACAAATGATTTAATTGTTGATATGCGCGATTCCATTCAAGTCAACATTAAACCAACAGATATTAGCACGTCTCATGGATTAGGAAAGAAATCGACCAATATGGAGTTTGTTACGCTACGACATGAGAAAAGAATTATTTTCTAATAAAAAGAAATTAAAGAAAATTGAAAATTATAAACGAGTTAATATTGTTGAAGACTTGACAAACCACAATCTTCAATTGTTTAAGCGTGCTCGCTTGACATTAGTTAAAAATAATGTATATACATTGAATGGACGTATACGGTACTCTACAGCTTCTGAATGGTGCTAGTTTATTATTTATGCTTATTTATATTCATATTGGACGTAATCATTTTTCGATCTGATCAGTGGCGTATTCAGAAATTTTTAACTAGTGGGCAATTCTCCAGCCAAATTATTTTGAGAGGTGGGCAGCAATGGGCAATTGAAAAATTTATTGACACTATAAAAGCCGATGGTTACGGAAGAGAAATTCGTCAACCTCAACTAACAGAACAGCTTGCTCGCTTTCTTTGTGTTGAACAGCAAAGCGTTCATCAGCGAATTTATATGTAGTACCGAGTATTTTAACGAAAGGGTATCATTGAATCGTTATCATTGAGATCATTGGTTAAATAGAAAAGACTGCTGATTGATTTTTCTGCAACAACTGATTAGATCTCATCTTGAGAAGTTCGTTAAAATCACCTCATTTGAGTCATCAAACGTACACGAGTATCAAAATATTTTTGCAGTGGGCAATTGCCATTATCTCCAAAAACTGGGGGGCAATAAATTTTGGACTGGTGGGTAATTGCCCAATTGCCCACTATCTGGATACGCCACTGAATCTGATTGCGGTATTGAACAAGCAAAACTGGAAAATTAATATGAATCATCCCACTACCAAGTCTCCTATTTCGCTTCTGAAATTTAATTTACTTGAGAATCGCATGCAAATAGTTAAATCTATGGCTGTTGCAATAACTGAGACATGGTTAACATCTAAGTGTGACATTTCGAATGTTATGGTTAACGGGTATCAAGTTTTCAGGAAAGATCGTGTGAATAAAATATGTGTGGGGGGGATACTTTTATATGTCAGGAATGATATTATCGTCAAAAGATTCTTAGATTATGAGGATACAAAATTTGCAACATTATGTGTGACTCTTCGTATGCCTAATGGTAAAACTTGTTGTAGGTCTAGGTTATAGACCTGACTGGGTTGACTGTTTGAAGTTTACTAATCACTTATCAGAAACTTCAAACAAAATACGGGTCAATACAAAAAAGTATGACTCCATGATTTTTGTCAGTGACTTTAATAGTCATTGCAATAAATGGTGCCCAAGTAAGCCTTCAACATCAGAAGGGGATGTCTTTTCTGACTTTGCTATGACTGAGGGCTCAACTCAGTTCGTTAATAAACCAACTCGTGAAAAGTCCCAGTCATGTCTTGATTTAGTTTTTAGTACTAGCCAACGCTCTGTTACTGATGTTTTAGTGGAAAGTCCACTTTGTTCAACTTGTGACCACTCTGTGGTTTCTTTTAATCTCTTTTCACAAAAACTAAGTCATTATACATACACCAGGCACATTTTTGATTATAAAAACACAAACTGGGATGCTTACAGTTTGGAGTTAAGCAAAACTGACTGGTCTCAATTAATAAACCAGTAACTAACCCTCGACGTCCAAGTAAAAATTTGGTATTAAACCTTCCTAGCAATTTCTAATCGAATTATCACAAATAAGACTATTATAATCTCCTCATGAGATGCTCCTTGGTTTACGGACAAATAGCGGCATCTATATATTAAAAAGCAAAAACTCTTCCGTCGTCGTGAACGCTCTGCATGTGATGATTTGGCATATAAAATGATAGCTAAACGTTATGAAGAAGAATGCTCCTTAGCGAAGGATAAGTACTATTCCCATATTCATGAGAAAATAAATCATTCTTCGAAGAGTTGGTGGTCAGTAGTTAAAAATGCTCTCAACAAACGCAAGCAGTCGTCTATTCCAAGCCTCGTGAATCCCATGTCTGGCAATTTATCACACCACCCCAGAGATAAGGCTAACTTATTAAACGAGTTCTCCAAAATTTGTACTGCTTACACTACCACTCATTGTGATTTTCCAAAATTACCAGAACCCAAACTTGTTATGTCGCCTTTTCTTCTGTTGGATCCAGAAGTGTATGAAGTCCTTTGTAAAATCAATTCAAGAAAAGCAGTAGCTCCAGGAATTACAGGTAGAATGTTACGTGAAGCTGCATCAGTGATAGCTTGTTCTCTTACACTACTATTAAACAATTCTTTATCTTCTGAGATTTTTCCTTCATCTTGGAAAATTGGTATTATAAACCCATTACACAAGTCTGGGCGTACCACTTAGTCAATAATTATTGTCCAATCACTCTGCTGTCCAAAGTATCTGTATATCCAAAGTATTTGAGCGTCTCGTCTTCAATAGAATTTTAAAATTCTTGCTCTCACATAAACTAATTAGTAAAAACCAGTCTGGTTTTTTACCTCGACATTCCACAACTGCTCAACTAGTTGAAATAGTTCATCGTATTGCCAAGGGCTTTACCAAGAATGAACCGACCATGGCTGCATTTATTGATTTTTCAAAAGCCTTTGACAAGGTAAACCACCAAGGACTTCTGTGAATTTGGTAGTGATCCATAAATGGTCGTGTGACTGGCTCTTACCTATTAATTTTAGTAAATGTTTTCATGTGTTTTACTAATCGTCATAAGCATGATATTCCTCCATTGTTTATTGGCGGCACTAGGCTGAAATTGGTACACTTTCACACATACCTCAGGCTCGTTCTTACGTCAGACCTCGATTGGACTTCCCACACTGACCTGATCGTAGCCAAGTGCTCCAAAATAATTGGATCAATGAAATTACTTAGTCGAATAGCTTCTTGTCAAGCTCTTGCTCTAGTTTACAACTCATTCGCTCCCTCAATTTTGCTCTATGCCTCTGTTATATACTCGGGAACATCAGACAAGAACTTAGCTCGGTTAAGTATGCTTGAATACCAGTCAGCTTTTGTGATTACTGGCGCTACGATGGGTGCATCTAAGGAGAAAGTCTTAGCTGACTTAGAATGGCTACCGGTCCAAACTATCTTTCAACGACAAAGACTACATTTTCTTCATAAGGTTATTCGTGGTCTGAGCAAACATTTCTGAAGAAAATGAGACGTCTCCGAGCTCTTTATGACATTTTTTCTTCAAACAGCATTCAGTTTACGGAAGGTATTACCAGTCAGTTTTGCTGGTATGGGACCCTCCGTAAACTGAATGCTGTTTGAAGAAAAAATGTCATAAAGAGCTCGGAGACGTCTCATTTCCTTCAGAAATGTTTGCTCTACACGAAAGACGTATTCGTAAAGAATTTTTGAATTGAACTCGGGCCCTTCGTCGTCTAAGATTTGGGTTTTCCAGAGATCTTGATTTCAAGAGTTTTGATGGAACCATTTTATACAGCACTTCCGATCGGGAATTCTTTCAGCTATCCAAATCTTTTTTCAGATTTGTTCTAGCTGTTATCATCGATGAGGAAAGTCAAAAATAAAGGTAGTGAACAATTTTGGATCCACTGAAGGCTTAAGCGGCGCAGCATTTAAAACCCCCAAATCGCTGCCAAGATCGATTAAGTCTCCTGTTAACACATATTGTAGAGCGTTTTGGGGCGCACCGAATTACGTATGAATGAGTAGAAATCCTCTTTAGTTTGATAGAAAAAAGTGAAACAAAAGTTCCCTTGGCATTAACTCATCTTATAGAGCGTTTCAAGACGCATCGAATGGTGTATGAATGATTACGGATCACCTTTAGTTTTATAGAGAAAAGTGCCCGATAGTTCGAGTAGCATAGCGTGTCAACAGAAACTTTAACAAAGTCTGGCACTCTCTAAAAAAAAATCGTATTCTAAAAAACCAAAAAATGGTATCCCGGGACCGGGAAACCAAAATTGGTTCTTATTAGTAACAAATGCAGATACCCTTTTTTCTTCGGTTCTGTAGACTTAGAAATACCCTTTTCCGTATCCTATAATACCCAAAGGGCATTTTGAAATATCAAAGAGGTATTTTACAAAACCAAATTGGTTTTCCAGAATACGGAAAAGGGTATTTCTAAGTCTACAGAACCGAAGAAAAAAGGGTATCTGCATTTGTTACTAATAAGAACCAATTTTGGTTTCCCGGTGCCGGGATACCATTTTTTGGTTTTTTAGAATACAATTTTCTTTTAGAGAGCAGCGGCCGCTGTGAATCAAATACTAGTTTTTTTCCACAGGCTCCCGCTATATTTCCGCAACTGCCGGTCTCTTTTTCCTATGAAACTAAAGATGATCCCTAATTATTTATGCACCATTCGATGCGTCTGGAATAGCTCTGCAATATGTGTTCATAGCAAACTTAACGATGCTTGGCAGCAGCCATTGTGAACCAAATACTAGTTTATTGAGATTGATCTAAGAGGGGGCTGATTTTGTCTAAGAACAGTACAAAAGGAAAGAGGAAGAACCCATGACTTCATTTTGTCTGTTCATATAGAAAAAGTTGCTAGTGTACAATAACATTAAAGATAC